CCCCCCCTCAATGTCCTGTGCCTCACCGTGGCGAGGGGGTGTAACAATGAATGACGCATTAGTTCGTGTGAGACAAACACAGTTCTGAAATTCTCTCCATCACAATGTAATATGTACGTCTGGCTATGCTTCCAAATTGCCCATGTTTGGTGGGTGATTATTTCGCACCTTCTTCTTATCCCTTGTATGTATTCACAAGTTTCTAATGAACTCTTACATTACCTGGCTGTCCAACCACCAACTGCAGCATCAGTGCCCCTCCAAGTCGGTACTCTTTAACACTCATTACGTGTGGACAGTCCTTAATGATTTAGACAAGTGCGTTTGTGAGAGAAATAACATTTCCTTGACTGTTAACTCGAACTGTTTCCACATGGACTGGCATCCTTCACTGGCTAAAGCAGGACAGAGCAAAAGATTTCTGGTGCATCACCTCTCTTCTGGAAATTAAATCACATCAAACATTTCAATTATCTGACAATTTACAATGATGATGATAACAAGATGTGAATTTAACTATCTTCATTAAAAGTTTCTGACTATATGATTATACCGTATTCAGTGCTATCAGTTTTGTTTGAAATGTTTTATACCAAACCGGTAATTATGGAAATGAAAAAGTAAAAGCACTTTAAGACAGTGTACGAGGGGGGACCCAAAAATAACTGGAAACGACCTGTTGCGCTCGCATGCTTTGTAGTTACAAGTTGTGCTGCTAGGTGGTGTTAGCTGGGGGTCTCCCGCGACTGTTAGTGAGCTGGCGTCAGTCTGAGTTAAGTGGTTTGTCTGTGGTGCTCTGTTGTGTGCGTTCCTGTTTCAACCCTTTGGCGATTAGTGAGATGGCCAACCAGAAGGAACAAAGAGTGTGAGTGAAATTGATGAAGATCGTCGAAAGACCATTGACCAACTTTCTGAGGAAACGAACATCTCATGGAGCACGGTCCAGCGAATTTTAACCGAAGGTTTGCACATGAGATGGGTGTCTGCAAAATTTGTTCCTCGCTTGCTCGGAGATGACCAAAGAGAAAACCGCGTGAATGTTTGCCGCGAGTTGAAGAGTGAAGTGCAGTTTTCCCTAACAGAAAGCAAAATTCTGGTGAACTGGTATAACAGACTCCTTCCATCAATCAGGCAAGTCTTCCTTATTCCAAATTGAATTAATTAGCTTATGGATCTTAGAACGTAATATTTCACGTCCTGTTTGAACCACTTCTGCCGGAATTTGATGACTACCTGACAATTTATACCTTTTGTTCACATTTTCCATTTAATTTAACTAGGAACTTCGCAGAATTTCATGCAATGTTGTATATACATTACTTCAAATATTTAGTAAACTATTTCGTTTCACATTTAAAACGTGAAACGTGTTTCAAAACAGCATAATCTTACTTTAAACTGGAATATACAGATACACTACACTACCTACCTGTTGACAATTTGTCATCCAGTAACTATTCTCTGCAGTGTTCCTTTAGTCCTCGTGGTGTTTTGCAGTAATGTGTTTTCCAGGTAGACGAAGAATAATGCTGCAGTCAATGTATACATGTAACAAGTCTAACTGTTATTAACCATGCGTTTCAGTCGGTCCACTATGTTCTTCGCTTTCACTGATTATTCTCACGCCATTTTTCCTTCTGGTTTTCGCGCGCAATTCTTTCATCTCTCGTGATTTTCTCCAATTCCATCTGACAGGACTCGCTAGCTCAATGTACCTGCAAACTAATTAAGTTTCGTGTAAGATTTGAGTTTTTCACGGCGGTCACTATGAAGAAAGCAGTCTTCTGGGATTTGGCACCGTGTATATGTGGTGTTAACCGACGTTTCGGAGGAACGTATCGCCTCCATCTTCAGGGTAGAAGGAAAAATATAAGAAATCCGCAAGCGAAGAGACCGTAAGAACCGGTAAAAGCAGACTGGTGTTGGAAATATACACAGCTACGTGAGAGCAGTGAAGGAAAGGGGGAAGGACAAGTATACAAGTGAAATCAGTAGCGGGGGGGGAAAGGAGCTTGGACAAGCAGGGTTGTGTGTTGGGGGAGACAAAGGCAAGGTTATAGGCTGGGCACTAACCCTTAAGCTGCGGGGGGGATTGTTATGTTAGTCAGTCATGGCCTGTGTAGTGTAGCCTTCTGGATCTGGCGGCATATCCCAGGGGGGCTTTTAAGAGAACAGATGAGAGGCTTCCATGACTTGCTGAGACAAAAGCGGACTTACTCAGCCCGATAAGTATTATTTACAAGGTGAATGCGCGAAATTATAAAATACAGTCATGCGTTACGTCGGACGAACCAACCCACTTAAGCTGACGTAATCATTTTAGATCATTTAATTCGATCTTAGTTTCCTTAGTGCGCGCCTGCTAAGCTGGAAACAAGTTGCGTACTTTAAATCGGCGACATTTCTGGGAAATTTCGGTTGCGTTGGGGATTCCAGTTTCCTTGGTGTGCCCTAGCCCTAAGATTGTACAGCTTAGTATGAAATGCGCATGATGGCAGCACAAGCCTGAAATATATATCAGTCGTGTTTCGTTCCGCAATATGGCGCTGCTCTCTTCTATAGCTGCTGTGTAGACAGAACGAAAATCATTCAAAACAAGAGTCGTGACATGGTTCGTTGATGTTTTAAAATATTTTCTGTAACTGTCAAAGATGGATTCTGTTGGTACGTTAAAGGGTTATTAAAGGCCGTTTCATGTTGCTCTGGAAGTGACAGGTTATAAATGTAAATTCTTGGAATTAATACAATTTTAAAACGTGGGGTTGCCCTATTTTCTATTTTTCTGATAGTTCTGTTTCTTTTACAGTATCCGAAGATCATGAATATTTGGTGCCTAAGAGGGCCATTACATCCGTTGAGGACATGCAAATTTGGGAGAAGTCGGAAGCGTACTTTGTATGTTGTAAAACTCATTTTAATTGAACTGTTATTTTTAGCTTTATACTTTAAGACATGAGACATATTTCGCTTTTGTACAGAATGAGAGCCATTTCACTTAAAGTATATAGTGTCGAAAGTAACAAAGGAAGAAGCTATTGCATCGGTTACCATTACTTAATTGATCAATTAGGAACAACTGTGAAAGGATTTACATTTCGAGTTGGTTTGCAGATTTACAACCAATGCAAGGATGTTACTGATTCCCTAGCAGAAGCTGATGACACTGTGAGTCATATCCTATTGTCCAGGAGCATAAACAATCAGTGACAAGCGCAGAGTTGTCCATCCTTCTAGATGTGCATGTCACTCACTTGTCATTTTTCATGGTAGTTGCACTCAGTTATCTGTGGGTAGAATAAGGTTGAACAGCCTGTAGTTTTGTTTCCATATTATGTAAAATTTCAGTTATAAATAAAAGCTGGGAAATTTCCACATATGACAAGTGAACAGTCTCATGAGCCGGTTGAAAACAATGGTTGTTATTGGACAGAAACGTGAAAGACAGTATAGGGTGCTGACAGAAGAATTGGATGAAATGGTAGAGGTTTGTTGAGCTCAATATGAACTATATGTAACTTTTAAAAAACAATGACCATACAAAAAATCTTGTGTTGTGTTGGTTTAAATGAATATGACCAGTGTACTCTTCCAATTTAACTTTGTATGCCTTTTACATATGGGGTAGCCTAGAAGAGAATTTAGAGAACATCAAAGAGCAGTTTCAGAAATTCCCCACAAAGAATTATGGAGAGTTAGCCACATCGTAATCTGAAGGTATGAAGAATGGATTAAGGAAAACGGATGTTTTTAGAATCTACGGCAAGGGTAGGTGTATTACTGTTACAGCTTGCAACAACTTTCATCTGTTATTGACTGATTATGTGACTGATCACTGGATGATGATTCACAGTGACAATGTAATGTGGGCTTCACAGCCAAGCAGGAAAAAAGTAGCCTTGTATACTTAATATATGACTGAAATTTTGAACAGTTAGTTCTATAACCCTTTATGGGATTGTGAGCAGAGGATTAAATGTATGTTGCAGATCTTGTCTCTGTTATTAACTGGATAATGTCATTAAATACAAAGTGCTTATTTCACACTATACCCTACTACATTCCTTATATGGCTAAGAATAAGAACCAAAGTTTAAAATTATCACACCATGTAAATGGAATTGTAAATCTCATGACTCAATTTAATACTTGCTGAAATAAAGAAGTGCCATGGAACAGAATTTGTCCTCACTTTGTGGCTTCATTTAGCACAGTACTGTCAATTTTAATTGTGATATGTAAACATGTTTCCCCCACCCCCTTCCACACAGGAGTACTTGGGCTTCATCATGGCACTTAATGAGGCCGTGAAAGGGAAGTCCTTGTCAGTCGAATGTCCTGAGAGTGATGTGACAAAAGGAATGGTCAGTCTACTTGACAAGTTGGATGTTTGGATAGAAGAAACGCCTCCTATAGAGCAGCCTCAGAGGTTTGGCAATCAGGCGTTCAGGACTTGGTACAAGAGAGTAAAGGAGGTACTGTTTTAAATGTTGTTTTAGAAATTTCGTAGAATTTTTATTGTGCAAGGTCATACAAAAATAGTGTCATAATAATATTGTTATTACTACAACAGGGAGCAATGCAACTTCTTCAGGAGGCACTGCCAGGGCGATTTCATCGGGCAGTCCCAGAGATAATGCTGTATCTTTCGGAGGGATTCGGTAACTCAACACGAATTGATTATGGCACAGGCCATGAGATGTCATTCATTATGCTCATGTGTTGCCTTTTTAAAATTGGATCCTTGCTTGAGGAAGATAAAGTGGCTGCTGTTACTCGTATATTCAACAGGTGAAACGCTATCACATACTTTAGTAGGATATAATGCTTTATCAATACTGATTGATCAGTTAGATGCTTGTTTGAACGGATTTAACAGAGTTGGATATGTACTGTTTCAAAGTAGTTGTGACCTTGCTTACTTACTTACTCATGGAGCTGAGCCCTTCTGGAGGAGCCACCAAATCTGCAGCTACTCAAGACTTTCCCAGCATTTTATGGAACCCGAAGGTTCATTACCGTATTCACAAGAGCCCTCCACTGGTCCCTATTCTGAGCCAGATCAATCCAACTGATACCATCCCATCCTGTCTCTCCAAGATCCATTTTAATATTGTCCACCCACCTACACTTTGGTCTTCCCAGTGGTCTCTTTCCTTCTGGCTTTCCCACCAATATCCTATACGCATTCCTCTTCTCGCCCATGCA